GTTGTTTGAACTAACAAGGGGGCACTGAGTGGTTTAAATTAGGAAGGATGTGTGTCAAAGTTGTTATCTTTTACCATATTTACTTAATCTGCATGTGGAACAAATAATCTGAGAAGATGGATTGTAGGCTGAAGAGTGTGGCATCAGTATTGGAGAAAGACTCATTAATAAACTACAAAATGTAGATGATTCTACTTTGCTTGCTGGAAGTGAAAAGGACTCAAAGTACTGATGAAGATCAAAGACCACACAGCCTTAAGTATGTGTTGCACCTCACTGTAAGGAAAACAAAAATACTCACTGCTGGACCAATAAATAACATCATGATAAATGGAGAAAAGATTGAAGTTGTCAAAGACTTCGTTTTGCTTGGATCTACTATGCACACTCATGGAAGCAGCAGTCAAGAAATCAAATGGTGTACTGCCCAAGGCTTATCTGCTGCACAAGACCTCTTTAAAGTGCTGCAGAACAAAGCTGTCTGTTTGAGGACTAAGGTGTGCCTGGCATACACCATGGCATTTTCAGTAGCCTCATATGCATGTGAAAGTCGGACAATTCATAAGAAATAATTGAGTCATTTGAATTATAGTGTTGGAGAAGAATATTAAAATACTACCAGAAGAGCATACAAATCTGTGTTGGAAGAAAATTAGCCAGAATGTTCCTAAGAAGCCAGTATGGCAAGACTTCGTATCTCATACTTCAGACATATTATCATGAAGGACCTGTCTCTGGAAAAGGACATCACATGCTTGGTAAAGTGGTTCTTCAACAAAAAAGAGAAAGCCTCCCAATGAGCACATAACAGCAGCAAAGGACTCAAGCTAGGTAACTATTATGAGGATGGTGCCGGACCTTGCAGGGTTTTGTCAGGTCCGAACTGGCACCACAGGTTAATGTGCTGGACTGCAAGTTAGGTTTGAGCTGCAAGATTGGCAGTTTAAGCTCACCAGTCGCTGTTCAGAAACCCTATGCAGGGTCGCTATGAGTTGGAACTACTTGACGGCACTTAACAACAACAATAACAACAACCAATAACAACAATTGAATTAAAGTAAACCAAATAATCCTGATTGTTTTATCATGTGTAGGGCATCCTATTAGGATGTGATATGAAAGAAAAGATTTGAAGTGAGGTCTGATGAATGAGTAGGATCTTAATAGGTTAAAAAGGTAGCAAAGAAAGTCTTTTAGGTAGCAAGAGCATGTGCAAAGACCCTGTGGCTTAAAGAAGGTTAATCTCACTTCCATTGAGTTGATTCTGCTTCCTAGTGACCCTGTAGGATATAGCAGAATTGCTCTCTAGGGTTTCCAAGACTAAAATCTTTATGAAAGTCTCATCTTTCTTCTTAGGAGCTATTACGGGCTCAAACTGTTGACTTTGTGGTTCGCAGTCCAATAGTTCCCCCACTGGGCCATCAGGACTCCCTAATTGTAGGCTGAATATTGGAGAATGAAAGAAGTTCAGCTCAGAGAACAAGGAAAAACATGGGAGGGGAGCTAGGGCTGTGGAACGAGGCTGGACTAGTTTTTGAGACTTAGCAGGACACTCAACATATTTAAGGCTTTTTTCTAATATGCTCCTTCACAGAGTTGATCTCCATGACCTGTGCTGGCATGCTTTATGCACATGTTTCTGTTAAAGTATTATTTCACTGTATTGCAGTTATTTATTATTACTCATCAATTTCCACCACTAGATTTGAGTTTCCTGAGGACAGGAACCATGTAACAATTCAAGTACATTTTCTTAAGACCTAGTACAATACTTGGCAGGTCTTATATGTAAATATCTTCCATGAGTCAGTTGATTACCTTTATTCTTACACTAACAAACAAAATGATTGGTGCTTATATCACCCTGCAAAATGAACTGATCTTTTATTTCCAAAGCAGTTGAAACCACTGGGTAAAAGGAGTAGTGTATGTACAAAACCTAATTCAGTTGCAGGGAATGAGAATTTACTAAAAGTTAAGTCCCAGGAGCTCAGGGAACTGATCTATTTGGTTTGATGCTCAGTACTTGCAACAGTGCATACAAAGTAGCAACTCCAAAAAGGTTTGTGAAATGGATAAAGAGATGGAAAAAGATGATGACCATTCTGAGACCTAGAATGCCTTAATACCAATCTGGGTTTTACTAGTGATTTCTAATGGGTTCTGGGTTTTGCTAATTAGGCTAAGTAAATAGCTTAGAACTGCATAACCACATTCCTCTCATTAGTGAAAATTATCAGAAGTATTATAAAATTCAGTTGGAGACCTCAAATAGATCTAAAAGTAAATAGTGAAGGCTGATAGATCACATCTCATGAGTGTTCTTTCATCTAATGATAACTGCTTGTTCTTTCAGAAAGCGTAGACAAAAATAACTCTTAATTATTTATTATTAGTATTATTAATATATTAGTGATGTCTGCTTTGAAGACAGAGCCTACTTAAGCATCAGTTATAATTTAGCAAGAAAGAAAGAAATTCAGATAGATTCTACTCAAAATATTGTGATATTAGTAATTGTTGTTGTCAGGTGCCATCGAGTCGGAACCTACTTGTAGTGACCCCATGCACAGCAGAATGAAACAATGTCCGATCCTGGGCCAACCTCACTACCGTTGCCACACTTGAAGCCATCAATGATGCCACCTAGCTGATCCATCTCGTTGGGGGTCTTCCTCTTTTTCTCTGACCCTCCATCTTACCCAGCATCACATCCTTCTCCAGCGACTGTTCCCTCCTGACAATATGTCCAAAGTATGAGAGATGAAGCTTAGCCATCCTGGCCTCCAAGGAACACTCCAAGGAGTAATTGTTATTAAGTGCTCCTATATAGGGTTTCCAAGGAGCAGCTGGTAGGTTTGAACTGTTGAACTTGTGGTTCAAGCTGACCTTTTGATCCAGTGTTTTATTAACAGTTATGTGATAGTAAGTTAGGTTGAGGGTAAGATAAAAGGGTAGATATTTAAGAAAAATTTAATAATGATTTTGAAAAGGGAATCCACTTATTGTTTTAAAAAGAGATAACTTTAAACCTTACTGATGTGTCGTTGAGTAAATATTTACATTAGTAGTACACCAAGGAAAAATTAGAGTGAAAATACAAAATGTCAGATGTTGGGAATGAATTTCACAGAGTTGTTCACAATACACTTAATATTATCATGAATAAAGTAAGATCATTACAAATTAAACTGCAAACTCTTTCATTATAATATTAGTCCTTTGAGAAGAGATACTATGAAGAGATACCATCTTGGTTATATTCTTACCAGTTAGTACAACTCCTAAAATAGAGAATAATAACAATGAATTGTTTTAAAAAAATAATAAATGACCAGAAAGGCCTATGTGTAGTACTTTTCTTTCTTATATTGCTCTTTGGGCCATACAGTGATGTCACTAGGGTTGGTGTCAACCAGTGGCATGTCTAGTACTTTTCTTTCTTATATTGCTCTTTGGGCTATATAGTGATGTCACTAGGGTTGGTGTCAACCATTGCATAACTCATGGTATCACCATCCCCCATCCCATGGCCCTCCTCCTGTACTAGACTATGCAGAATCCTCACCCCAAGAATCCACTGCCACTGAGTTGATTCTGACTCATAATGATGCTACATAATAGCATTTCCAAGGCTATAAGTTATTATGAGAGCAGATAGCCTTTTTATTTCTTCCACTACCTTGAGCTTAGCCATCCAATGCTGAATCTGAAGCACTACCAGAGCTCCTTACAGAATCCTTACAGTGTTCCTTATTACTTTTAATCATAGAATAATATGTGATAACCGTTGTTGTAGGTTGCTTAAATATAGTATTAAATTATATGAATACTAACAACAAAATTGTTTTATAAAATCTTTCTACATTGAATTATAACTTTATTAGTTCCAACATTATTAGTAACCAAACTGAAGCCTTTTTGGATTTTTCTCCTTCTTTTCCTTTAATTGCTACTTCAGTCTCAAAAAAAAAGTTATTGACATAGGTTCACAAATGCTACAATATTGTAGCTAAAACATGAGAAAATTTGACAAAATCATCAACTATAAAAACACGGATAGTAACAAAAAAAAGCACTTGCTTGTACATGTATAGATGAAGCCATGTGACTCAAAGCAACTCAATGTGTCATTGTAATTGGGTAATAATGACAGCTTGGACCAGCACATATTAGAAACTTTACAAAGTAAATTAGCATAGAGTAGTCAACTTACATGGATATTGATATTTGGGCTTATGAGAAATGTTTTGTTGATGTAACTAACTAGAGGGATATTTTAGTAAAAAATAATAAATTTCTGTTGAAACGCTGTACAAAAAATTTACAGCAATTTTGGTGTCACCTCCTCCCAAGTCACCCCCACGCACAGTGTAACCATGTGTGGTCCATACCCCCCTGCGATCCCCTAGTGATGCCACTGCTATTAATAAATCCTTGACTTTGAAATTTGAAGTAGTTTCTTAGAAATATGGGCCATCACAATTACTTTTGCCAAATTGCATGTGAATCTTTGGTACTGGAAAGGATGCTGTCGATATGTCTGATGTATGATACCAGTTTGTGACAGTTTTATCCAAGCTTTTGAAGATGGAAAATAATTGAATGAAGAAATATAAAAAGAGCTACCGATTATATTGGAATCCTGGTGTGGTGCTGTAGGGTAAGCATTGGACTGCTAAGCAAAAGTTCAGCTCAAACTCAGCTGCTATTCCTTGGAAACCCTATCCAAGGTCTCTTTGAGTTGGAACTGACTCCACAGCACTTAACAACCATTTAAGTAGTGCATGGCTCTGTAGGATAAGCACTGAACTGCTAACTACAAGGTCCGTGGTTTGAGCCCATCAGCTGCTTTACAGGAGAAAGATGAGGCTTTTTGCTCCCGTAATGATTTACAGCCTCAGAAACCCCATATAGGGTTGCTGCGAGTTAGAAGAGACTCTGCAGCACTTAACAACATCCATTATATTAAAAGCAATTGCTAAGAACCAGACACTGACTTCACCATTAGGTTTGCAAAGAATTGTGGTACAAGTCGGACTTGCTATAAACTTATTTTGCTCCTTCCAAAGAAAATCTGAGGGAGGCTGATGCTTTGCTTCAGATGCTGCTGCCCATACCTGTAAGAAAATAGTGTGTTAATGCCAATGCTGTTGGAGTTCAAAATAGATTTGTAAATGTCATAGGGTTATTGCAGCATATTATTTGAAGCAGATGAGGTTTTAAAATGTGATAATGTCAATCTGTGCATCATCAAACAGCTACTGGAAGTGGTCTAAAGGAAAGCACAGAAAGCGATGGGAGACCCTACAGCATCAAGTACCTGTCCTCTAAACAAATAAACTTTGTTTTTCTCATAAGGATTATGTTTGCTTATGATATTTGATTTTGATAGTTAAATCATAAAAGTAAAAAGTATCACAGACCAAATGGAAGAAAACTGTGGAAAGTTATTTCTAGGCATTAATTGATACTTAGAAATGACTAAATGGCACAATTGACCAACTACAATTAAAAAAGAAATCACATTTTCAATGCAGATCTAGTGATGAAAAGAACACTGGTGCTGAACCAGTGTCTGGCAATGTAAATGAGTTTTTCTCTGGGCAAATCTAGCTTATAGTATTGATATCTTGTACTCACCGTTACTGTGGAATTGGCTTGCATTATAGTATTTGGAGGGAATCGGAACAAAGCAACTGTCTGGCCATCCAAGTTCTGCTGGAGAATATGATCTCCAATCTCCATTTCTTGGTCGTAAGAACAGTTAATGAACCTCACATATAAACCTCTGAAATTCACATCAGCTATTTTAATATGTCCAAGAGCACTAGAAAAGAAAACATAATGATTATAAGGTGCCTTCAGATAATTGTATCTTTAGCAATTAACTCATTTTAAGAATTGCATAATAAAACCTCAGTTTCTTTATTTCTGATAAAGTTACTGTGAACATGAGTAGCAGCTCTGTTGAAAGAAGTTTGAAACATTAAAACATTAAAGAAACAGGATCATTCAAAAAAGTGTTGCTTTTTTGAAAAATACACATTTCAAATTTCTATTAAAAACAGGATTTGCTGTAGGCAACCATCTTCCTGCCTTTCAGCCACCAGCAAAAGACAGGAACAGAAAGAAAGGGGTATAGAAAAGCAGCTTAAGAACCGCTGTGCTTGGTCCAACGTCATTTTGATTTTGGGCACTGACGGAATGAAGCTTGTCTTCAAGTTGGCATTTCAGAGGCGTCGTGGCTGGAGAGCAGCTCTGCTTTCCTGTTGGTGGTGGATGAGGTTGTAGTGGGAACAGGGGAATCTGCCTGGTCCCCACTGTGCTCTTGCAAAGGGCAAGGAGGCCTAGCACCAAGGCTCATCTGATGGACCAAGGCAAAAAGGACCAAAAGAAAACTAGCCCTGACACCAGACCCCTTGCTAGAGGTGACTACTAAACTAAAACAGGGTCCTGTGAATGGGCACTTGGAAAAGTTCTTTATCTCCATACAAAATCATAGACTTTTATTAAACAAAATACCAAAATGTGAAGCTATTATTTCCTGACATGTCCTATAAGTCTACAAACTTCTGAAGATGATATTTCAATGTCTCTAAGTGTGGCGCTGTGGGTTAATGTGCCAGACTACAAAGCTGTTTGAACTGCAAGGTCGGCAGTTCAAGCTCACCAGCTGCTCCTAGGAAACCCTATACAGGGTCGCTATGGGTCGGAATCGACTCAAAGGCACTTAACAACAAGAAATAGAAGAAGTACTGGGCTTATTCTACTTATTCATTGGACTTATTCACAAAGTTGGCAGTTCAAACCCACCAGCTGCACTGTGGGAGAAAGATGAGGCTTTCTGCTTTTGTAAAGATTTACAGCCTCAGAAACCCTATTGTTGCTGTTAAGTGCGTTGAGTTGGTTCCAATCCATAGCAACCCTGTATAGGGTTTCTGAGGAGTGGCTGGTGAGCTTACGGAGACTCAAATTGTGTTCCTTTTCAATGTCCTTTTAGTTTTGGGAACAAAAAGAAGTCTGAAGGGGCAAGATCAGGGCAGTGGGGTAGAAGGGGTAAGGTTTCCCAATGAAATTCTTATAAGACAGTCTTTAGTACCCTCAAAGAATGAGCAAGTTCATTGTGATGGGAAAAAAATTCCTGGGCACAACTCTCCAGGCGTTTTTTCTCACCAATGCAGGTTTCCATTTTCTTAAAATGCCATAAGCCCCTGTGATCCTCCTATGACCTTTAAGAAAATCTGTCTAGTTTAACCCTTTGAAATCCAAAAAATTGTCACCACAATCTTCCAAGTTGACCTCTTAATCTTGAATTTAACTGGCCCAGCAAATCCCCTCAGAAGCCACTGCTTTAACTGAACCTTTTTTTTTTTTTTTGATGGCACCCTAAGGACACTAAGGCAATTGTATTATTGAGAGAACCTGTCTGCCACTGATCCAGAGACATATTTAAACATGTTTTGCTTGGAATAAACCTGTACACATATGGACTAGAACCTTAGTGAGAGATACTTTTTGACCACCTCATTGTTGTTAAGTGCCGTTGAGTCGATTCCGACCCATCGCGACTCTGTATAGGGTTTCCAAAAAGCAGTTGGTGAGCTTGAATCACCGACCTTTCAGTTCAAACGACTTTGCAGTCTGACTTATTAGCCCACAGAGCCACACCAGGACTCCTCATAGAAAATGGTATTTTTTCTTCTAATATGTACTGAGAGCTTAAAGTATACTAGGGCAATAATAATTTCCTGAAATACCCCAAATCCTGAATTGGGAAGCTCTTGTTGTCATTGTGTGTAATCGAGTCGATTTCACCTATATGCCAGAATGAAACTGCCTCATAGGAAACCTAGGCTGTAATCTTTATGGGAGCACATTGCCATGCCTTTTCTACTGTGGAGATGGTAGTGGGTTTGAACTGTTCACCTTTTAGATAGCAGTCAAATGTTTAACCATTACACCACTAGGGTTCCTTAGAAACACATAACAAAACCAAACCCACTGCCAAGTCAATTCTGCTCATAGCAACCCTATATAGGGTTTCTGAGGCAGTAAATCTTTACAGGAGCAGAAAACCTCCTCTTTCTCCCTTGGATCAGCTAAGGGGAGCAAAACTGCTGATTTTTTGGTTAGCTGCCCAGTGCATAGCCCACTAACTTCCAGGGCTCCTTTAGAAACAGTTGTCATTAAGTGCCATTGAGTCAGTACTGACTCATAGTGACCCTGTATAGCCAAGGAGCGACTGGTGAATTTGAATCACTGACTTTGGGGTTCAAACCAATCTTCTTGCAGCACCACACCAGAATTTTGGGATGGGGATTATGGATTTGAAGTAACTAATTTCCTGAAAAAATAACACTGCATGTTGCTTAATAAAAGTCACAGTCAAAAAATGTTGAGAAACACTGTTTTATCTCATTTATAATTCCCACAAGAACTCAGTAACACAGGTACTGTGTTATACACAGGAAATTGAGGCTTAGAAAGATTCAGTCCAATGTCCTAAGTCACTTAATAAACATTAGTTCTTGTTCTTCTGCCTCACTCAGCTAGTAAAATCTCAAAGTGGTTTGGTCCAAATATTCAAATGGTTTAACTCTTCAACTTGTGCGTGTGCTGCTAGAAAACACACACACACACATAGATGGTTACCACCAAGAAAATGAGTGATCTCCACTCACACCCGGGAACACCGTGGTTCCATACAGTAAGCCCTGGAGTGCAAACCACAAAGTCCACTGTTCAGGCCCGCCAGCAGATCTGTGGAAGAAAGATGAGGCCTCTACTCCCGTGAAGATTTTTAAAAAGCCTCGGAAGCCCTATACAAGGTCTCTATGAGTCGGAATTGACTTGACAGCACTTAGCAACAACAAATACACACCTAGACTCAACAATTCTTCATGAGCCTAGCCAGCACCTTCTGCCATTTCTTGAAAGATGTTCCTCAAATGCCTGCTCTCTATCTCCAATCTCATGCTCAGCAGGTGATCTCATTAAGAAAACAGGGCTATCTGTGAGAACTCAGAAGTCATCCTGGTTCCCACTCACAAACAGATTCACTCATACCCACACTTATCTCCTCCCTGTTCCACCAAGGTCATTTCTTGGAAGATGGGGACTCCTCTTCCATGTAAAAACAAACTCTACTGTTTCAGGGTCACAGTCTAGTCATTATTCTCCTTTTCTCCTGTGTTGTTGTTGTTGTTAAGTACCGTCAAGTCAGTTCTGACCCACAGCGACCCTGTATAGGGTTTCCAACGAGCAGCTGGTGAGCTTGAACTGCCAACCTTGTGGTTCAAACCAACTTTGCAGTGTAGTGCTTTAACCCACAACACTGTATCACCCCAAGAGTCCTTTTCTCCTGCAGCACCAGTTTATTCTTCTAGCATGCTTTCCCCCTCAACATACACATATTCTCCAAGAACTACAATCTTAAAAAGGACAAATTCACACAACCATCAGAGCTAAGCTTCTGGAAAGAATGTGATACTAATTCCTTACCTCTTATTCACTTCTCAACCCACTATCCTGTCCTTCTGCTATTGACCTAGAGGACCAATACCCTCCAAGTTGGTAAACTGAGTAAGAGTAATTTTCTCTACCAGAGATGCCTTCTTTTTAAAACTCCTCCAGCAGTTTCCCAAATCCAGTGTGTTCCTCTTTCTAGACTGGTTGCTTATTTTAAGTGTCTTTTTCATGTTTATCTCTCTTTATGCATCTCTCTGATATTGATCTGTGGGAGTCTGTCTTTAGCCCTCTTTTGTTCTCATCATACCTTATTTATGTGACATCACTCATGAACTGGACTTCAATAACCATTTACTACACTGATGACTACTACATCTCAATCTCTTACCTGGGCTTTCCTGCTGAGCTTCAGATTCATAGCAACAACTGTCCACAAGGCCCCAAAGCTACCTCTAAATCAACAGGACCCACATTGAACTCATTATTTTGACTTTTCATGAGTTTAGTCTTCCAACTGTGAATTTGTTTCAGTGCATTGCATCATCATTTCCTCCTCTGGCCAAGCCTGAAACTTTCATGTCTTTCTCCCTTTGTTTCATATCTTATTAGTGTCTATGTTCCATTGATTCAACCTCTTTAGTATTTTCTGTTTGTGTCTCCTCCCCATCTCTATTGCTGCTGTCTTCATTAGGGTTGCATCATCTCAGTGGGGTACTGTTACAGCCTAACTGGTTTCTCCTTTCTTGTTCCCATCTAACCATTCTTCAATGTGCTTCCAACTCAGGCTTTGTGCTGGCATTATTTCTTCCCTGTTTCTTCATTGTTTTACCATTCCCTTCCAGATAAAATGCAAACTTCATAGTATGCAAATAAAGCTCTTTTTTTTCTCTACTTTCTACCTTATGCTTAAACTTCAAGGCCTGTAATAATTAATTACATTGCATGATTGACCTACTGCCTCCCATCACGCTGCCATTGAATCGATTCTGACTCATAGTGACTGTGCAGGAGCAGAAAGCCTCATTTTCCCCCTTGAGTGACTGGTGGGTTTGAACCTTCAACTTTGCATTTAGCAGTCCAATGTTTATCCTACAATGCCATCAGGGCTCCTTACCTATTGCCTACACATGTGACATTCCCTCTTCTTGTTTTGTTCTGCATATCCTTCTTTACCAACGCTTGAAATTTTCAGACTTCATTTTTTTCAGTATGAGGGGAGTAAGTACAATGGAACCTTGTTATTTTGATTTGTCCCCGATGGTGAGTTGAATAAGGTTATTCTATTGAATAACTTTTGCTCATCTGTAACTTGCCCTCTATGAATTTTGTCCACTTTTTCATAGGGTTGTTTTGCATTTTCTTAATTGATATACCTATAATATAATATTTTAATATATTCATATTTTTCTGGAAGAGGTTGTCTCTTAATTTGTCTATGATGTTTGAGTTATGGTGTTGGGGAAGAATATTAAATGTACCATGGACTGCCAGAAGAACAAACAAATCTGTGTTAGAAGAAGTACTCTCATACTTCGGACAAAGTATCAGGAGGGACTGGGCCTTGGAGAAGGACATCATGTTTGGTAAAGTGGAAGGTCAGGGGAAAAGAGGAAGATTCCAACTAGATGGATTAGAATGGTGGTAGCAGCAACATACTCAAGGGTAACAAAAATTGTGAGGATGGCACAGGACCGGGCAGTGTTCTGTTCTATTGTACGTACGGTCACTGAGTCAGAACCAACTCGACAGCACCAAACAATAACAACAACAACATGATGTCAGAAGTTTAAACTTTAAAAAACTTTACATTTTGAAATTTATTAATTTTTTTCTTTACAGTGTCTGGTTTGTGTGTGTGTGTTGTTTAAATAAGAATAATGGATTTCCTGTCAAAGTTTTAATTTGTGTATATAGAAAAATATAAGAGCATATTTATGTGTGGGACGAAGGGTAGTGAGATGGCAGGATAAGGAGAGGTAAAGACAGTGTGTCTGAGTGGTGCAATGGTTAAGTGCTTGGCTGTTAACCAAAAAGTTATAGGTTTGAACCCACTAGCTACTCTGTGGGAGAATGATGTGTCAATCTTCTTCCATAAACCCTATAGGACAGTTCTAACCTGTCCTATAGGTTTGTCATGAGTTGAAACTGACTCAATGGCATGCAACAATAGCTACAGATGTAAATATATACTAATTTTCTTAGCTACGTCTATTACATAGGTCAGCATCTTCCTGATGATTTGTAATGCTATCTCAATCATCTACAAAGTTTCTGACTATGTTACTTTACAAAGTAAAGGGATTCAGCAGATGTAATTAATATTATGGACCTTCAGATAGGGAGAGTATCTTGGAGAATCCAGGTGGGCCCAATCTATTCCGATAAACCCTTGAAATCAGAAAATGTTCTCCAGCTGGAAGCAAATGAGAGTCAGAGAGTTGGAAAGTCAAAGAGAATCCAAGTGTGTTGTTACTAGTTCTGAGATACAGGGATACATAGACAAAGACAGGAGATAGACCTGTAGGAGCCACAATCACAAGGCACTGAATTTGGTTCACAACCTGAAATAGCTTGGAAGTAGATTTCTTCCACATAGCCTCCAGATTAGAACCCAGTTGGCCAGCATCTTGATTTCAGCTTTGTGAGACTCTACAAAGAGAGATCAGCTGAGCTAAACCAGAATACTGACCTATAGAATTGTGAAGTTATCATTGAGTGTTTTTGTTATTTTAAATTGCTAAGTTTATGGTAATTTGTTTTGGCAGCAACCGTAAAGAAATACATATCGCTTATGAATTTTAGAATCAGTTAATCACAAATGGAGCCCAAATAGGCCTGTAATTCCAGTCCTAATGCCTTAATTGGAGATATTAACCTAGTATATTCTGTCTTTCATTTAATAACTTTCCATTATTTAAGCATTGATTTATATCGTAGTTGGGGTCACCTTGATCATTGCATGCCATTCGTCTGCTTTTAGTTTGCTACTTGAGGTTTTCTTCCATTCTCCTGGCAAAGGTAGGTTTGGCCTCCTGTTGTGGCATTGTAGAATAAACGCTTGACTGCAAGGTTGATTTGAACTACAAGGTCGGAAGTTCAAACTCACCAGTCTCTCCTTGGAAACCCTATACAGGGTCACTGTGAGTTGGAACTGACTCAGTGGTACTTAACAATAACACCAACATAATTTGAGGAATTATTTTTAGAGTTTCAGTTTTTCCAACCACTCCCATAAAGAGTTACAGCCTCAGAAACCCTATGCAGGGTTTCCATGAGTAGGAACCAACTCCAAGGCACATAACCACCACCATCACCATCTATCAAATGGAGTCCTGGTGTGACTCTGCAGAATAATGCGCTGGACCGCAAGATCAGTTTGAACCACAAGAACGACAGTTCAAAGCCAGCAGCCACTCCTCAGAAACCCTATAAGTGTAGTTATGGGTCAGAACCGACTCAAGGGTATGTAACAAAAATAACAACAATCAAATGGACTCCTGGTATGCAGTGGTAGGATCAGCACTGGACTTTGAACCACAAGGTTGCCATTCAAACCAACAGCTTCTCCTCAGAAACCCTGTTGCTACGAGTTACATAGAGCCAACTCTACAGCAAGCACATCACAACAATAATCTATCAAATATCCTTTATATAGGTTGGCATCTGTGTTTGTGGCAGGATGAGGGCAGGTGAAGCTGAAAAGCATTTACTACTGCCTCAAGCTTTAAAGGATGAACTTGGGAAGATGAAGGAAAGTTGAATTCGTTCATTGGTTGTACTTGAGAGTACACACCTGAAAGCTTGAATGATCCTTAATGAAATGAACAGATAAACTTATACATCACTACTATCAGGTTCTACTTCATGCTTAAATTATAATGATAAAAAACTCCATTTTTTGGCTATTCTAAAAACTGTTGCAATAAACACTAGTGTGTACATCTCTTTATATCCCTGCCTTCACTTCTACCTAGGATTGGGCTTGTTGGGTTATACAGTAGTTCTTTGTTCAACTTGTTTTGAGGAACAGTCAAACTGTTTTCCATAATGACTGTACAATTTTACATATGCACCAGCAATGTGGATGAGGGTTCTAGTTTCTTATCTTCACCTTCTGTTTTCTGTTTTCTTGATCACTATTATTCTAATAGGAGTGAAGTGGTAGCTCTTTGTAATTGTGATTTTTATTTCTCTGAATCCTGGTGCGGGTTAATGTGCTGAACTACAAAGTTGACTTGAACAGCAAGGTCAGTGGTTCAAGTTCATCAGCCGCTCCTCAGAAACCCTATACAGGGTTGCTATGGTTCGGAACCGAATCAATGGCACTTAACAGCAACAACAATAATAACTAAATGGGACTCCTGGCAAGGCATAGGGCTGGGAACCACAAGATTGGCAGTTCAAATCCACCAGCTGCTCCTTGGAAACCTATACAGGGATGTTATGAGTCAGAACTGACTCAATGGCACTTAACAACCACAACAATAACAATAACAAATGGTGTGGCACTACAGAATAAGCACTGGATTTCTAACAGTAAGGTTGGTGGTTCAAACCTGCCGACTTCACAGCATACCCCTGTATTTTCCTCTAAGTATTTTATGGTTTTAGTTTTCACATTTAGGTACTCGATCCACTTTGAAGTGGTTTTTGATCAGTTGTTTATAATTGTTCAGTACATGAAATAGCTGTGTTTCAATGAATTGCTTAAGGTTTTAGATAAAATTATGGATCTATCGATAAATTGGAACTTTATTTCCTACCAATTTATTACATCTAGTCCTAATTGCTAAGCGTTGTTAAAGTCAGTTCTGGCTCATAGCAACTGTATGTAGTTTCTGAGGAGTGGTTGGTGGGTTTGAACCACCAACTTTGCTGTGAGCAATCCCGTGCTTATCTTACAGTGCCACACCATGAATCCCTTACCCCCAGTGGAAGATATTAAATTGTTCCAATAGAATGTATACCTGGATCTTGAGTGACCAACTTCATCAAGAATCATAGAAAAATTCTTCCAAGTTTTCTCCATGTAGTTTGAGCATGCAGAAAATTTTCTTGAGCCACCAAACAAGGATTGGAAATAATCCTCCCCTTCCTCAATCATAGCTGCCTCAGAAACATGGGTCAAGGTTGGTTTCTTTGGAACTATGGAACTGCTGATTCCTTTCAGAGAACCTGAGAATGAAGCAACCAAGAGAGAGCGAGAAGCAAATAAAAGGATACCAAAAGAACCCAAGTCACTGCCTTTTTCCCACCTCCTCCTACAAAACCATATTCTTTATACATTTTATTGTTAAACTCAATTAGAATTAGATTGGGAACTTCAAATACAAGGTTATAAAATAGCAACCATTAACTGACTATTTTTAGTGGCATTCTAAATTCCTAGAGATTACATCAGTTATCTTAAACTATCATCTATATGATCAGCATAATGACTATTAAACAGATTCTTTAGTTGTACTAGCTGAAGCATCATAAAATTTTGAGTAGGTAAATTATTGGAGCCTCCCTAATTTGGTTAAGTTATATATAAATATAAGTTGGTTCTATTTTGTATTATTTATGTTTCCTAAATTGCTATCCACGAATTAAAACCTCAAATGAATCCTTTCCTACAAATTTAGCGCCTTTTCTAGGAAAAGACTTAAATTTCCTCAAACCAAATAAAATATTAAAAGGCTAAATTAATGCCTAATCAGAGTTTAATGCCCTTTTGGAAGTTTGCTTTTGTGAGGCTCTCACTGGTGGTGGTTATGTGCCGTGAAGTTGGTTCTCATTCATAGTGACCCTGTATAGTGTTTCCGAGACTGTATGTCTTTACAGGAGCAGAAAGCCTCATCTTTCTCCCATAGAACAGCTGGCAGTTTCGAACTGCTCATCTTGAGGTTCACAGCCTGATTTGTAACCACTGTACTTACCAGAGCTTCTTGAAGCTCTCACTAGTAACATTTAAATATTACCTAGATCTCAAGAGTCCTGGTGTGGCAATGTAGGTAGGATAAGCACTGGACTGCCAATACCAACAACAAGGTCAGCGGGTCAAACTCACTAGCTGCTCCTCCAAAACCCTATACAGGGTCACTATGAGTGGGAACTGACTTAACAACACTTAACAGCATGATTCTTCATAGAACTATGCTGGATAAGTCTTATGATGTGTTTGTAAAGAGAAACTTACATGATGGAGAGATAATATGGTGACTGCAAAGAGCTGTGTATAATGTGTTTAAACAGATTTGTCACGTAGAAAGCCAACTGATTTAAACTTTCCAAGTCTCAGTTTTTAAACTTTCCAAGTCTCTTGTTTAAGGAATTGTGGGAACTGAAGATAATGTAGTTGAGTACCTTGCACAGTGTCTGGTATTTAACAAGTACCTGTTACAAAAAGCACAGGACTGAGGACCACAGGTCCGCAGTTTGAGCTCACCAGCCACTTCACAGAAAAAAGATGAGTCTTTCTGCTACTGAAAGGTTTAAAAAGCCTTGGAAACGTTGTACAGGGTCACTGTGAGTCAGAACCAGCTCGAAAGCACGTAACAACAATAGCAATATTGTTGCAACACAGGGTGTGGTGAATGTGACCCCAAGTCCAACATTAAGAAAGATTAGCTAAAATGGTTTACAGTCTGCTTTAGATTCTTACTCTAGAGAAAATCAGAGTTTCTAACAAGAATCCCTCAAAGTGTTATGTTTAGAAGAAACTTTCAGAATTAAATCAGTTCATTGCAGTCAAATGCGTATTTACTTAATCCTTAAATTCTTTTGAGAAAGGAAAATATACAGCATTATTGTTAGCAACACATCCTGAGAGGGCTGAAAGATTTTGCATTTCAAAAGGAAAAAAGACATTAATATTGGCCCCAGTTGTTATTCCATCCAGAGTAATCGAATTGCACCAAATGGCAGAAAGTCTCAGTGGGTCCAGCTTCTCTACAAAAAGAATTGATTAAAAAGTATGCTTTCAAAATAGTCTAAAAATATTCATATTTTGCTTACCTAAGCTGTTTTCTCTTTGGGTATGATTCACTGGACTGTCTTTAGAAGTTTTTATTAAACTTGCTGGTGTATCTAATCCACTAATCCACGAGCCAGAAATATAGTCATTGAAAGGCGTTTCTTTGGCTAATGACCATGAAAATGGCAATGTTGTATCTTTTGAAGAAAAGCTTCCTGGGAACAAATGCTGTAAAGATCCCTGTGGTATTGATAAGGAAGCTCCCCGTCTGTCTTCTTTTCTGTGTAAAAAGAAATCTAATGTTAAAGTCACTGGGATAGACTGAATACAAACACTGGTACCAATATTAGAGTTCTGCTTATCAAAGGAATTAAAAACTGTAACAGGAGCCCTAGTGATATAGTAGTTAAAGCTCTCAGCTGCTAACTAAAGGCCAGCAGTGTGGACCCACCAGCTGCTCTATGAGAGAAGGATATAGCAGCATGCTCCTGTCAAGATAACAACCTCAGAAATCCTGTGTTGCAGTTCTTCTCTGTCCTGTGTGATTGGTATTATTCAGAATTAACTGTCTGGCATAACATAACATTAGTAATGTATTTCTAATTTTAACAAACTAAATAAAACACCTTAGTGTCAAGTCATTGCATTCTTCTATTTTTTCTCTTTAAAAAGCAATAAATTTCTATTGAAAATGTATAAATTAGAAAGAAGAGAATAAAAAATGACCTTAATAACACCAACCCCAGAGATTTCCACTATTTTCTCCTAGATTTTTCATTCATTTTCTACGTACAATTGAGACCCAAATGAACTACTTTATGTCCCACTTTTTCACTTAATTTTATACTTCCCTTTTTCATGAGTATACAAACATGATTTAATTTCCATTCAATATATCATTATTGTTTAGTATGCCTTTTTTCTTGCAATTCCCATTACTTAAATAATGTTCCTATTTTAATAAAGATTCCACATTTTTAATAAAAAATCTGTTTTTAAATGAACTCTGAAAATTAATGTCTATAAATATAGCACACACACAGGTACACATATATATTCCTGTGTGTATGTTGAAGAGAATGGCAGGCAGGAAGAAGAAAGACTTATTCTCCAGGTAATATTTGACAAGTGAATCTTATCATAATCCAAGATTTTCATTTTTTCACAAATAAGAAAATGTTTACTAACTAGTCCACAATCACTTTTAACACCCCTAAACTACTATGCAATTATTTTACAAGTTAAACAACATACTCTTGGCTTTGAAAAGATTGATGTTGTGTTTTCTGGTGGTTCACACTGAGACTCTTCACAGAGATCTCAGAAATGTGTGCGTGTACATTTGCACATGTATATGTGTGCATGCATATATGCTTAGGCACATGTTTTTAATGTTTAAAATGTGTTTAGTTTTCTGAAAATTGGACAAATGGCAAGCTCAAGCACCCCCTTTGTGGAGGTCATATCTATGCATTCTAAGTCAGAATCTAAGTACCTTGCTTCCATGAATTACCCATGTCAACCCCTTTGCTTAGCAAGAAGTTTTCATAGTCATTTTGTCCTATAGTTTGGAAGTTCCTTCATCGGAATTATTTTATCTGAAGAGCTTTGTACTTGAAACTAGATGGCACGTCTATCTCAGGTAAAATTTTTGTTGCATTTAATTAAATGACATAACTTTGAAAAAATGTCGTTACTGCTAACCCAGCACTTAAATCTAGTACATTGAGTTCTGTGCTAAAACATTTGCCTGAAATGTGCCAACCTAAAAGTGGAAGCGTTTACTATTCTGTTCTCACCCCAAGAACCCATTATTTGTCAGAAAAGCCCTAATTTATGAAGATATACTCTGGAATATGAATGTGATGGTAGTGGAAAGGCAGCTTGTCAAATTAAATATCTCAGCCCTGTCCAACCTGAGACAGGATCGTATCACATGACTTCTTGACACTGGCTAGAGCAAGCAGAAAAAGACCTTTTCTTTTTCCAAGTGCTTCACATCTGGGTTTCATTACAGACAAACTCACTATATCTTTTCAGCATGTTCATTTTACAAACCCTGGTGTGTTTTTTCTTCCTCCAGTAAAACAATAGGATTAATAGATAAATTTAACTCCACAAAAGATTCCCTACAAGCTTTTACAAATGTTGTGAACAAAGAAATCTGGCTCAGGACTACAGGAGGTTCTTATTTTCGTAGCTGAGTATGAAATTTCTGATGGTTGCACCTACTTTTGGAGGTAAAATATTTTTAAAACAGACCTGTCTGATGTAGCCCAGCATTTGAACCTTATGCTTATCTAAATAAGGTACTCCTGTGGGAAGATGAGAGCTGTTTCCTAGTGCATAGTTAACATTCCCTGTTAGCATATGAAATGTTCCAAACTTCTTGGTAGTTTGTTTCCTTTGTAATTGATTAGCACTGAATCAGGGGGAGTTGTAGCAGCTTAATTCCAGGATTTTAATGTTATTTTATGAGATGCTATGTTGGTAATACTGACAATAATCACTTTTTTTTTTTCAATGATGTCTAAGAACATATGCTATTAGATGGACTCAGACTGAAAAATAACAAGATATCTAGGTCCAAAAGTAAAAGTCACTTTAAAATATGTGTCCTTAATATTAGAGGTCTCTTTTTAGAAAATACTGGTAAAACCAATGCTAAGGTATTAGTTGATACACTGATTTACATAAATAAATAAATAGTGACTTGTAAATTTTTCTTTTTTTTTTTTAACAACACAGACATTTCCCAAACCCAAATTCCCTAGAAACTATTTGTCCCCAGACTAGTAAAGTAGTTTTAAAGTGATTATCTGTAAATTGCCTTAATATGCTAGATGTGAGATCTCGAATCTCTACCAGGTCTGATGGTGTGGAAGTCTGTCTTGTTCAGTTTTGGATTATTCAGAGACTAGGACCTTATAGGAGTCCTGGTGTGGTGCTGTGGGTTAATGTGCCAGACTGCAAAGCCGCTTGAACTACCAGGTTGGCAGTTCAAGCTTACCAGTTGCTCCTCGGAAACCCTACACAGGGTTGCTATGGGTCGGAACCTACTTGATGGGACTTAACAACAACAACAGGACATTATTAAACAGTTACTGAGGAAACAGTTGTGTTACAGTTCATTATTTAAAAAATTGAATCAATTTTAACAACTGCATCAGATGTTTCAAAGCAAAACAGATTACATATTCCATCATTTCTCTCTACAATCCAGACCCTCTTCTTTCTGCCATCCTTACTGAGTTTGTTTCTCTGTTTTTTCTTTCTGCTCAGACTCTTCGCTTTGCTGGGTTGCTGAAGCATCCTTAGTGATTGGTGTCTCTTTCATCTTGACTAGAAGAGAAGTCTCCTTTTTTTCCTAGAATAGTAATACATAGCATTAGATAGTGACTACAGCTAAAGTTCAAGGTAGTTTTTTTTTCTTTTTAAAGTGACTTTACCTTTTAAAATCAACTATCTTCAGCCACCTGCTAGATCTAATGATTTCTTTACCAAGCTGGTGCCAGACCCAAGGCTCTAATGAGACTAGGGGAGTACTGACATTATTCTTGATTTTGGCTGGGGATATTAGATGAACTAAGATGAAGGTGCATGGCATTCACTGGAGACAGTTCAAGAGGCAGCATGGTAACCCAGCGAAGCTGCCTTTGTGACCAAAACTTCACATCTGGCCAACTGCCTCTTAGAATGCTATGAGGTAATGTCTCCATAGTTACGAGCCTCCAATCTCTTAACAATTTCTGTGTTGATGCTGCACCTGTGCTGCAATTTTCCAACAGTAAATACGGTAACTTCCATTATGTAGAGTCATATCTCCCACCAGACAGGCTTTGTCACCATAATGTTTGAGATCCTATCTTGGATTTCTGAGGACCATAGCTAGAATATCAACATTGAGGGGATTTTTTTCTCTCTTTCTTTCTCTCACAGATGCTCTTTGAACATAGAGGAGTAACTCAGAAACAGAAATAGAAAACTTACATATATTTTAAGTTTTCTTGGAAATGACACCAAAGCCAGGAGACCTGAATTCTTCTCCCAACTCTGCTAGCCCTGTAATTTAGCAGAAATCACTTATCCTCTCCACAATTAAGTTTATTCTTTGTGCAAAAGTTCACTCTCAGATGTTTCATGATAAAGCTGGTATGAGAATAAAGCTAACATAGGACAGAGAGTACATGATACTACACAGTAATAAGACACATTAATGAATGTAGTTCCTGGATGAGTGAGTTCATTCAATGAATGGTTAATAAGCATCTACTGTTTACCACTGGAGGCACTCACTCATCTATGCCAAAAAAATTAGAAGATAACTATCTGACCGACTGATTGGAAGAGATTCTTATCAACAGAGAAAAGATTGAAGTTGTCAAGGACTTCATTCTTCTTGGATCAACTATCAACACTCATGGAAGCAGCAGTCAAGAAATCAAATGACGTATTGAATTGGGCAAATCTGCTGCACAAGACTTTTTAAAAGTGTTGAAGAACAAAGATGTCAGCTTGAGGACTAAGGTGCGCCTGACCCGAGCCATGGTATTTTCAATAACCTCATATGCATGCAAAAGCTGGACAGTGAATAAGGAAGACCATAGAAGACTTGATGCTTTTGAGTTATGGTGTTAGAGGAGAATATTGAAAGTGCCATGGGCTTTCAAAAGAACCAACACATCTGTGTTGGAAGAAATGTAACCAGAGTGCTCCTTGAAGGCTAGGATGGCCAAACTTTGTCTCTCATACTTTGGACATATTATCAGGAGGGACCAGTTGCTGAGAAAGATATCATATTTGGTAAGGTTGAAGGTTAGAGAAAAAGAGTAAGACCCCCAACGAGATGGGTTGCCAATGTGGCAGCATCAATGGGCTCAAGCATGGCAAAAATTATGAGATTGGCCAAGGATCGGGCAGTGTTTCATTCTGTTGTACACATGAGTCGCTATGAGTCGGTACTGACTTGATGGCACCTAACAACAACAACAATGTACCAGAAACTGGTTGGATGCTGTGAATAATCAATTTTAAGGAATAATGCTTTAAATAATGATGATAAAAATATTCTCCAATCTAGACTTGAAATTGGTTTCTACATTGGAATACAGAACAGCATTTAAATATAATGAGCAATAAATAAAGTAAGAGTTGTAATAAATCAAAAGAAAATGACAAGCATACATTATGAGGCACGTAAACAATAGGTAAGCAGACATTTGACACATTTTTCCATCTCAGAGACATAGTACTACTCCTCATCAGTGCTATAGTCCAATTATGAAAATGTAGCAACAAGAGATTTATAATTTCATATTATACTTACAAATTTGAAATTTCATACTATGTTTAATTAGAAAATAATTTAAAATCTATCTATAATTTCATGTTACTAACTTAGTTTTCTTCATTCTTTGTCTGAATGACTGATAATTCTACATTGTTGTTATTGTTAAGTGTTGCTGGCTTGGTTCTAACTCATTTCAACCCTGTATAGGGTTTCCAAGGACCGGCTGGTGGATTTGAAATGCTGACCTTGTGGTTCGCAGTCCATGCTAATCCTACAGTGCCACACCAGGAAAACATTTTCTCATGTATGTCACATGACTTGTCAGACATTCATGCAGGTGAAAGATGGTTTACAATTATTTGAGCCTAAAGTCTATCCCCATATTACATGTAAATTTTTTTTTATGTATTTTAATATATAAAATGCCCAGGAAGTGATTATTGTTTAAATTAATGGAAGATTGTGTATTTATTTGTTCTGATCTTTACCAAGAATTATTTTTCAGTTTGGAAAACTGCATCATCAATAACAATGGCACTTGGTGATACTTGTATAGTTGTTATGTTGTTGTTATTGTTGTTAAGTGTTGTCAAGTCCAGGGAGCAGCAGGTGAGTTTAACCACTGACCTTGTGGTTAGCAATACAGTGCTTATCCAATAGCACCACACCAGGATTGCGTTTCTGAAATAGATAACAACAACAGTATCAACCTTAATCTGACGATTCTTCTATTTACATATAGAATACAGAGGAAAGAAAAAACTTTATAGATGAAGATATTTTAAAAGATGCCCTTTACAAATTTTGGATATAATTTACATCTAAATCAAGCAAAGTATAAAAAATGTATAAGCCAGTTATAAATTTAAGCACACTGGATATTTAGTGTTCTTAAGGAATATAAGTGTGTAAATATTTTAGGCATGGTAATGGTATTGTGACATCCAAAAAGTTCATGAAAAAATTCTAGTATCTTTTCATTATATTTTTCTGTGAACTTTCTGAGGTGCTCTTATCTTTGAAATATACATACTGAAAGATCTATAGATAAAATATAAGATCTGGATTTGTTTTACAATAATACAAATGGTGGTGAGCGGATGTAGATGAAAAAGAAGCCATAAGGCTACTCTAACCGCTTCTGTCCAGTAAGGTTGTCCCTGTCAGCATCTCCAAGACCTGCTGCAAAGACATCGCTAAAGCACCAAAGGGAAAAAATGGAGGACAGGAAATAAAAGTCATCTATTCATATAATAAAAGAGCAGCTCAAATTATGAGAGAGGCCCACAAACAAACAAAAAGGGAAACATTGAAGAATGAAAAAGCTATGCGTCTCAGCATTATTGGTGAAAAACTGCAGTGGTTTCAAAATCATCTTGATGCCAAAAAAGTAGAATATTCAAAAAAGGATGCTTGTGAATTCATTGAAATTTATATAAATTGATTCAGCAGTGAGTTGGAGCAGATTGAGTTACATAACAGCATCAAAGACAGACAGGAAAGGCGACACTATTCTCAAGAGACGGTTATCAAGAAGATGATGGAGCATGAGCGACAGCAATATGAAGGATATGGCCTTGAGATTCCAGTCACAGTAGATGCTGGTAATCTGAGAATTTTTAAGGAATGGGATTTTAATCTGAAGAAGTTTCCAAACATTAAAATAAGAAAAATCTGTGCTAATGATGCAATTCCCAAGAAATGCAAGAAAACAAATGGTACAACTATAGATAAAGTCTTAGAAGAATTGGAACAAAAAGATGAATCCAGTGACTCAGATGAGGAAATGACTCCAGTACCCTAATTGTCTATACTTGAGAATAAATAATGTGAGAGCTTCAAGTTTCACACATTGGTTATGGTAAATAATTATCTGGATCATTCCTTTATATGAAAAGAGTTCCATTTGCAGTTTTATAAAGCAGTGTTAGAATTTTTACTTAAAACATTGTTAGGAGAATAATGAATGTTGCTTTATTATTAAGTTGTTAAAATGGGTAGACGTGATTTATAAACCCATTTTACCTGAATTTCTAATTGATATGAATGAGAACAGATATGTTTGTTTTTCTTTCTCATGTTTATTTAGGACTGCCTAACTCGGCAGAAGTGGGTTTTAACCTCATGTATTGAAACTTCCATAGCAATTTGTTTGTAAAATGGTTTTGATATCCTTTGAACTGTCATGATAGCAATTTTGTCTTTCAGTAATAGTGTTAGACTAACTCTTCTTTTAAACATTAACCTTATTATTACAATACATAAAAGGAGAAAATGTGAGATGGAATTCATATAGACTGATGAATAATACATTATTATTTATTCTCTTCTGAGTTAAATGGTAAAGAAATTAGCAATGATTTATACTTAATCATTTACCTTTGGATAAGTGACTTTAGGTTAACACTGTTTATTATATTTCTGCTCTTTAATTGTGAAAAATTATGCTTTGTTTGTGGAAAGATAACTGAAGACTAAAGAGCCAGTTATTCTAATGATGTTTTTTATTCCCCCTTCAAGAGACAGGTTAAATGGACAAGTAACTGACTTATTGTTTCAAGTATCAGAAAAAAACATGGTTATAGTAAAATGTTATTTTTTACAGATCTTGTTACATGCACCTTGTCCTGTAGTCTGTTTTGTAAAGGATACTATGGAAGTGGATCTGAATATTTTCAGGAAAAGGAAAAGAAATATTAGTGGTATATGTTGAACTAGATAGCAAGTCTTCTTGAAAGGTTATTTTAAATGTTAGAACTGTTTTATCTATGAAAATTAAAAACAGTTTATTTCCACACACACAAAAAAGATGAGCCATAACATAAAAATTGTTGAGGTTGGGTGATGAGTACATGTTAAGTGCTGTCAAGTCAGTTCTGACTTATAGCGACCCCGCATAGGGCTTCAGAGGCTGTACATCTTTATGGGAGCAGAAAGCCTCATCTTTCTCCCTCGGAGGAGCTGGTAGTTTCAAACTTGTGGATTGCAGCCCAATTCGTAATTACTACACTACTAGAGCTCCTTGATGAGTACATAGGGTTTCATAA